GGGTCTTGGCTTGGTTATCTCTGAACAAATAGTGAAAATAGGACACCATGCTCCAGATCACAAAATAATCATCCATACCTTTAGCAAGCAACTTAGGAGTCGCAATTACCTCTTGCATTAAGCGTTCTTCAAACTTAACCATGCAGTATTCGCCAAACTTGGAGCTAGGCAAGGACCCACGCCAAGTCCTTGCATCTGTTCATAAGACTCACCGTCAAAGACGAAATATGTACTACTCATGGATAGGTTAAGGAGCCCTTGAATGGGGCTTATTATCATCTTAATTCCATCCGTAATATCTACATGCTCCTTCCGAGTAAGCATCAAAACCTGAGCGGTTTCTTGAAGTAGAATATTTGTGTACATTGATACCACGTCAAAACTTACTAGTATGCCTTCTTTGGGAATATATTGCTGATCCACTAGTTCAACAAATTCCTACGAGTTTCTAACCAAAAATATCCTAAATTTACTCACTTTTCTTAATTTTCTGCACAAAAAACATGAGGCTTTATGCATGTCATTAGCCTTTTTGTCAGCAATCAATCTAGGGGAAAACCCTTCTTTACACATCTTCTGAAGGCCATAATCAGTGGATTCCCCAGCATCGCTTTGAAGTAGGGAACTCATTTTCCACTTTACCATTTCCCAACTAATTAGGCACACCTCCGAAGCATATTTTAGCCTAGTTTTATGTCCCTCTGTAGGATCTCTCATGAGATGCTAAAACGTATCAATATCATTTAAACGCACAAGTATTCTCTCTAGATAATTTTACCTAGCCATGGCTACCCTTGCTTCAGCCTTCTCAGCTTTCATAAAAATTAGATTTTTACAAACTAAATATCTAAAACAAAGGACTTGTTTTGCGTAACTACCTGGTTAAAGGAGCCACCTCCAGCTCTACGCTATTCTTGACTGTTTCAGCTAATCTATTTGAAAAAATAATGAGCTCAACCACTATATACAGAAAATATTTTAATTCATTAGGTAGTACAAAATTTGATCCTCTTTCCAGCAGAAATTTCATACCATCCTCCAACTCTGTACAAAATAAATCAATTATTTTATCCTTGCAAAATTTGTTAGAGCTTTCTTTGAATGGATCTTAATCCCCAAACTTCTAAACTTGGTATCATGAACCCTCATAGGCGTCTTATAGATTGCTTCACCCAAACTTAAAAAAGTCTTCATTTAGAATCTGAGAAAGTGTTAATCTTAGCCGGTCTTTTTTCTAATCAGATTTTAACTTGGTAGGAGCATAAAGCTTTCGGATCAAAACAATCTGACCGAAGAGTTAAGAAGACTGAAAGTTTTATTCCTTGAGAATTGTTATCCTTTGGACTTAATTGATAAAAATATATCTTAAATGAGGAAGAATTCTTCAGGCAGAGACTATTTAGTAGGAGATAGGCGAACCGAGATCCTTTCTCATGCTCAAATCTTGCCTTCATACTTTCTTTCTAAGAAGATAGATAGATAGATAAAGATAGTTTTCAGAGAAACATGAAAGTCATATTAATGTCAAACAGTTAAAGTATAACGCCACTAAGCCGGCTTCTGATGAGATTGACCTAGGAATATCTTCTACGTGTACTTCCATACAAAATAAAAGTTCTCACAATTGTATCTCAGGAGATTCCTCTAAATCCGCATTTTCTTCCTATATACTATAATATATTTTACGAGACTACATTCATAGACTAAATTAAGGGGTCCCAAATAAACAAAAGCCTATAATTCTATATTTTCAAGACAATAACTTGCTTACAATACTTTACATGGAAATGATTAGTAACGCATTTATGCATTAAAGCTATCAGTAGCCCAAATAATTTGGGATGATAAGCAACAAATGACTATGCATAAATCTGATAGAATTATAACATTTTAATGCTAGTCCAAGACATATTACCAGTATTTGTCATTTTAGTATGGATCTTTATTAGCCGGGTTGACTACAATCAAGGCTAGGCCTCCAGTATGGTAGTGAGATGAGTTTAAAACATAAACATAAAAATCATTAAAGGCAACAATAACAATTTTAATAGCTAGAACTGAAAAAATTAAGTACTCCAAATTATTTAAGTTGTAGATACAATACAAGCATTTTTGTGAGTGGCATATATACACACTAAAATTTCGTTTTCCGACAACTTAGCAGCCAGTATTAAATCAAAAGCGAGGAGTCTTGGATACTGGGCCCCCTTCCTCCCCCATTTGCTTGCGCTTGCTGATAATTGCCTGGATCTTCTGCCATTGCCTGTCCAATTCAGCTTTCTCGTCTTTCAGACCGACACGCCGTGTCCGTCGGCCATCAGACATCTTAACGCCGTACTGAAAGGCTGCCTTTGGTAGAGCTTCTTTGCTCGACATATATTCACTGTACTCCTCTTGCGTCTCGAAGTCCCATCGGCCAATCGGACCTTTTTTATTTCCAAGATCCATTTTGCTATAGTCGGTTTCATCATCAGAGTCACCCATTGCATCATAACTCGCCTCAAAGCCTGGATAGCACTCGTCGTATCCGGTTGGCATCGTCTTCTCATAAAGACGCTGTAGGCGAATCTGGTTGAAAGATGCAATATACATAATTTATTAGTTTTTAAGAAAAAGTGATACAAATAACAATGTGATAAGGATACATAAAAAAGATAAAGTTTTTTCAAGCTACAAAGCCATAAAAAGTGTACGGAATATTTCGTTAGTGTTTCATACAGTTTGGAAGATATGTGACACTGGATATTAAGCAACTTCAAACTTGTCTTAGAAAGTACATTGTCTGTCTATTAGCCATGTTCAGACATATGGTTTAAAATAAGAATATAATAAATATCCGCTAGCCTAGTCCAATGAAAAACAGACTATGCCAACCGAAGATATGAAGACTAAGATGGATTAGCCGTTCGTATGGTTGGAATGTCCTTTCGTTGTAAAGAAGTTGTGTGACATTGTTTTCGCAACTTGCTTATATTGGTAGTAAGACTTAGAGGAACGCATCTAGTCTGGAGTCCATTGTATACATGATAATTTCCAAAGTCGGACCGTGGATGTGGTAAACTCCCAGACGTTTTGCCAGCATCGTAGTCGGCATCGTCAGCAAGTCATTCCATTCTTAGCACCATACAACAACTCGTCAGAGACAAGTGAAGCCGATCTGTTGACCAAATTGGTGCGAAACTGTTGTGGTATCTCTCCTTCTGTCATGGGCTATTCACGTCTCCTATATCATAGTATCACGACTTCACTGTCACCATTTTTTTCCTTGCTCATCAAAATGAAGTATGGTGTGTCCTTTTGAGCAGCTTTCATGAGAACCCTCACACTCCACACTGGCATTCTAACTCTCCCTCACCCTTGTGCTGGGAATGTTAATCAGAGTCTGCCATATTGTTACGCAGTTCTCCTCCCCTAGGTCTTATCATAACCTCCCTCTTGCCCAGTAGGATCCAACTGCTATCTCCCTGGTTCATGTATTTTACTCAATCTCTGCCACTCCATCTGTGCTACTCAAGGCATTACTATCCATCTCCTGTGTCTGGGTCATAGACTTGGTATTAGGGATAGAACGAGAATAGACGCGACGGAGGCTGGAGCTAGTTGGCTGACAGTATGTTTTACCAGAGACCATGAGACTTACATAGAGGCTTTAGCCTCGAATTAGTCACCCAGACGCAGGGGATAGGTAATAGCGCCTCAAATAGCACAGATGGGGTGGCAGGGTTCGAGTGAAATACTTGAACCAGTGAGATATCAGACACATCCTAGGGGCAAGAAGGAGACTCTGATAAGACCTAAGATAGGACTGCGTAACAATATAGCAAACTCTGATCAGCATTCCCAGCAAAAGCGTGAAGGGGAGTGAGAACGCCAGGGTGGAGTGTGGGGGGTTCTCATTAAAGCCGCTCAAAACGGAACACCACGCTAGATTAAAATAAGCAAGGAAAAATTGTGATAGGGAAGGCGTGATACGAGGATATAAGGAGTGAATAGCCCAGGACAGGAGATACCACAACTGTTTAGCACACATTATTTTGCGAATTAAGTATTCTTTTTGGTGACTACCAGTAAATCAGTAATATGAAATGTATTCACCCAATTTTTTTAAGCTGACGAAGGACTTGTAAAAGAAGAATTTTCCCACAATGATATGAGTAGAGCTGACGTTTCCATTGAAGTTCACATAGCCTTGCTTTCCCAAAAGTTGTTCTCATGGAGGGTGGACTGCAGTTTTGGCCTCGCATCGGTCTTATCAACACCATCAGCGGGAGTCGAACCGCTTGATACGTTAACCACTCGGCTACACTGCAACGAGCGCCTTTTGGGTTACAGGGCAAATGTGAATTTTCGAAGAAAGGCCGGGCCTTTTTGCCATATCATATTCTTTTGGTGGAATTGTAGATAAAGCAAACGTATATCTGCTACAACAATCGACAACTATACTTTATTTTTCGAATTAAGTATTATTTTCATGACTACCAGTAAATCAGTAATATGAGATGTATTCTCCTTCTACCAGTCCTTCATTACCTTAAACGAAATTGGGTGAATACACCTGAGCTTTCGTCCATCATATTACTGATTTACTGGTAGTCTCGAAACAAGTATAGTAGTCGATTGTTATAGCAAATATACGTTTGCTTCATCGACAACCCCCCCAGAAGAATATGATATGGCAAAAAGGCCTGGCCTTCCTTGAAAATTCACATTTGCCTTGTGGCCCATAAGGCGCTCGTGGCAATATAGCCGAGTGGTTAGCGTGTCAAGCTCCCATCCTGCACTGTCGCGGTTCCACTCTCGCTGAGGGTGTTGATAAGACCTATGCGAGGTCGAAACTGCAGTCCACCCTGGATGAGAACAACTTTTGGGAAAACAAGGCTATGTGAAATTCAATGAAAACGTCAGCTCAACTCATATCATTGTGGAAAAATTCTTCTTCTACCAGTCCTTCATCAGCTTAAACGAAATTGGGTGAATACATTTCAGCACGCAATCGGTCAAGGGATCGGCTTCACTTGTCTCTTTAACGAGTTGTAGTATGGTGCTATGAATGGCAACTCACTGAAGCTGCCGGCTAAATGTCTGGGAATGTACCACGTCCACAGTCCAACTGGAAATTATCATGTATACAATGGACTCCTCACTAGGTGCGTTCCTCTAAGTCTTCCTACCAATATGACTAAGTTGAGAAACAAGGTCAAAGAACTTATAGATTATGTCAATCTTTAGTCTGAACCTTTTCGGATTCTCCTGATCAACATACTCTATCCCAATCTGCCTTATTTGCGCCAATGGATAGGCATAACAGAAAACGGGAAATCATTTATAGTTTCTGAATTAAGAGTAATAATAAAAGGTCAAAATAAAAAAAGTATAAATGTGAAGAAAAAATAGTGAATTAAAACCACTTACTAAAAATAGTGAGCACTATCATATAAAGTAGTTGTTATAGGCCAAGGGATATTGCTCAATTAAAGACTCATCTGATTCATGAGGTACAGTTTATAGGTTATTGCTTAAATATACGTATAACTACTCTGTTGTTTGGCAAAACGACAGAGAGTCTAGAGCAATTCATTGTGTATATGAATAAAATATATGGGACAACTGAATTCATTATGAAATTAGAAAAGGATAGGCTGCTCTTCTTGAATGCCTGAATAAAAATTGCAGAAATAGCTCTAAATGGTGTTCAAATTTAGCATTGGGAATTTTTAGCAATTCATTAATGAAAAAAATTCTCAGAGTTCTAAACCAATTCTGTTTACTGGTAACAGCAGAAGGAAAATCCCTCAGTTAAATCAAATATCAAGAAAATAAATCCAAGAAACTTAAGAAAAATTTGTTAAGCAATGATTTAGTAATAGTTATTAGCTTTGAAAATATTCTTTTAAAAAATTACTTAGGACTAAATTCATCTGCTTCAGCTATAGTTTCCATCACTAAGATGCTCAATGGTAATAATAAATGTTGAGCTTACTTCCATTTCGAGTGAAGGCGTTGGGTCGTTAGCTTGAATTTTGTTGTGACGATGATACCTTGCTCTGATGATATTCGTCATATGACGGATGAAAGCTTAGCATATTTTCACCGGAATCAAAGGAGATTACCTCGGAAACAGCGTCAGCATGAAACTTCCAGTTAAGCCAATCGACAGGTGGTCAAGATGAATCCGCAATCGTCTTCTAGTGAAACCGATCTTCGAATCTCTTCACCCAGCACTTTCACTCAATATGGAAGTAAGTTCGACAATTATGAAAAAAGAAATTCCTCGAAACAGAACTTTTTTTCGCAAACAATAAAAAGTTGCATCCCTGCCAGAAACTGGGCGCAAAAGAAGGTTCTCATCATACACTGTAAAAAAATCAAGGTCAGAAGTTTCGAGCAATCTAGATAAGAAAACAATGTGTCGAGACGAGATCAGGCGCAAGCTGAGTAAAAAAATCCACTTTCTATAAAGTATGCAAATGAGTTTATTTTATTAGGGGATGTATAGACTAACCGGAGCAGGTAATATTGCTATAAATAAGATAGTGGATTCAGAATTATACAAGAATATTTTGGTA